GTGGGTATGGGTGTATGGGTGTTGTTGTATGGGTGTATGGGTGTGGGTGTGGGTGTGGGTGGGTGGGGTGTGGGTGTGGGTGTGTGTGTGGCGTGCGTGCTGCGTGCGTGCGTGCGTGCGTGCGTGCGCGCGCGTGCATCTTGCATGCGGTATCTCTTGTGCGTGCATCTTGCCAATGGGACTGCGATCTGCAACACTGTCGCCACTTTCGAGGGCTACTGGTGGGTCCTGCGGAGTGAGGCACCGCGGGGATCTGAGCGAGACCTCGCCGTCCCTGGGGGGCTGCGATCTGCGACACTGTCGCCACTGTCGAGGGCTGCTGGTGGGTCCTGCGGAGTGAGGCACCGCGGGGATCTGAGCGAGACCTCGCCGTCCCTGGGGGGCTGCGATCTGCGAAACTGTCGCCACTTTCGAGGGCTGCTGGTGGGTCCTGCGGGGTGAGGCGCCGCGGGGATCTGAGCGAGACCTCGCCGTCCCTGGGGGGCTGCGATATACGAAACTGTCGCCACTTTCGAGGGCTGCTGGCGGGTCCAGCGGAGTGAGGCACCGCGGGGATCTTAGCGAGACCTCGCCGTCCTTTGGGGGCTGCGATCTGCGACACTGTCGCCACTTTCGAGGGCTGCTGGTGGGTCCTGCGGAGTGAGGCACCGCGGGGATCTGAGCGAGACCTCGCCGTCCCTGGGGTGCTGCGCTCTGCGACGCTGTCGCCACTTCCGAGGGCTGCTGGTGGGCCCTGAGGAGTGAGGCACCGCGGGGATCTGAGCGGGACCTCGCCGTCCATTGGGGGCTGCGATCTACGACATCGTCGCCACTTTCGAGGGCTGCTGGTGGGTCCTGCGAAAGGGGGCACCGGGGGATCTGAGCGAGACCTCGCCGTGCCTGGGGTGCTGCGATCTGCGACGCTGTCGCCGCATTCGAGGGCTGCTGGTGGGTCCGCGGAGGAAGGCGCCGAAGGGATCTGAGCGAGACCTTGCCGTCCCTGGGGGGCTGCGCTCTGCGACACTGTCGCCACTTTCGAGGGCTGCTGGTGGGTCTTGCGGAGTGAGGCACCGCGGGGATCTGAGCGAGACCTCGCTGTCCCTGAGGGTCTGCGATCTGCGACACTATCGCAACTTTCGAGGGCTGCTCTTGGGTCCTGCGGGGTGAGGCACCGCGGGGATCTGAGCGAAGCCTTGCCGTCCCTAGGGGGCTGCGATCTGCGACCCTGTCGCCACTTTCGAGGGCTGCTGGCGGGTCCAGCGGAGTGAGGCACCGCGGGGATCTTAGCGAGACCTCGCCGTCCCTCGGGAGCTGCGATCTGCGACGCTGTCGCCACTTTCGAGGGCTGCTGGTGGGTCCTGCGGGGTGAGGCACCGCGGAGATCTGAGCAAGCATCGCCGTCCCTGGGGGGCCGCGATCTGCGACGCTGTCGCCGCTTTCGAGGGCTGCTGGTGGGTCCAGCGGGGTGAGGCGCCGCGGGAATATGAGCAAGACCTTGCCGTCCCTTGCTGCGATCTGCGACACCGTCGCCACTTTCGAGGGCTGCTGGTAAGTCCAGCGTGCGACGCTGCCGCCGCTTTCGAGGGCTGCTGGTGGGTCCTGCGGAGTGAGGCACCGCGGGGATCTGAACGAGACCTCGCCGTGCCTGGGGTGCTGCGATCTGCGACGCTGTCGCCACTTTCGAGGGCTGCTGGTGGGTCCTGCGGAGTGAGGCACCGCGCGGATCCGCGCGGATCTGAGCAGGACCTCGCCGCCCAAGGGGGGCTGCGCTCTGCGACACTGTCGCCACTTTCGAGGGCTGCTGGTGGGTCCTGCGGAATGAGGCACATGGAGGAGCTGAGCGGGACCTCGCCGTCCCTGGGGGGCTGCGAGCTGCGAAACTGTCGCCACTTTCGAGGGCTGCTGGTGGGTCCTGCGGAGTGAGGCACCGCGCGGATCTGAGCGGGACCTCGCCGTCCCTGGGGGGCTGCGATCTGCGACGCTGTCGCCGCTTTCGAGGGCTGCTGGCGGGTCCTGCGGAGTGAGGCACCGCGCGGATCTGAGCGAGACCTCGCCGTCCTTTGGGGACTGCGATCTGCGAAACTGCCGCCACTTTCGAGGGCTGCTGGTGGGTCCTGCGGAGTGAGGCACCGCGGGGATCTGAGCGGGATCTCGATGTCCCTGGGGGGCTGCGATCTGCGAAACTGTCGCCACTTCCGAGGGCTGCTGGTGGGTCCTGCGGAGTGAGGCACCGCGCAGATCTGAGCGAGACCTCGCCGTCCCTGGGGGGCTGCGATCTGCGACACTGTCGCCACTTTCGAGGGCTGCTGGTGGGTCCTGCGGCGTGAGGCACCGCGCGGATCTGAGCGGGACTTCGCCGTCCCTGGGGGGCTGCGATCTGTGAAACTGTCGCGCTATCGAAGGCTGCTGGTGGGTCCAGCGGAGTGAGGGACCGCGCGGATCTGAGCGGGACCTCGCTGTCCCTGGGGGGCTGCGATCTGCGAAACTGTCGCCACTTTCGAGGGCTGCTGGTGGGTCCTGCGGAGTGAGGCACCGCGGGGATCTGAGCGGGACCTCGCCGTCCATGGGGGCCTGCTATTTGCGAAACTGTCGCCACGTTCGAGGGCTGCTGGTGGGTCCTGCGGAGTGAGGCACCGCGCGGATCTGAGCGGGACCTCGCCGTCCCTGGGGGGCTGCGATCTGCGACACTGCTGCCACTTTCTAGGGCTGCTGGTGGGTCCAGCGGAGCGAGGCAGCAGGCAGATCTGAGCGGGACATCGCCATCCTTGGGGGGCTGCGAGCCTTACAAATGCCGCTCGCAGAAGTATATGCGCCCATGTCATGTCATCACCTCCGTATAACGTCTCCCAAGCTACTCATGCCCCGCAGTGCGCAGGGGTTGGGTACGTCGCCAGGTTAATTATGACGAGTCGGCCGAGGCGATGGGCTTCAGCAGCGGGAGCGTCCTCTGGGATGTTGCTGAATTTTATAACAAGCTCGATCCCATCACTGCGCTGCAAGCCACCCTCCGGCTAGGATACCGGGCTCGCACGGTCGGCCTTTCCCTCACTATCTAACTTGCTCTCCCCAATGTTCCTCCGATCTCGAGGGGTGATTGCCGAAGCGATCCTCCCCGCGGGGTCTCCTTTAACGGGAGAGAGTAGCGCAAACAACTATGCACGAGGAGTGCTGTGCGATTTGCTGCAAGATGCCCACGACAAGTATTCCCCGCGCGTCGCAATTAAGCACTGGGTCGACGATGTAAATCAGCGAGCCCAGGGCACGGAAGCTCAGGTACTTGATGTGCTCCCCAAGGCGGCAGGCCATTTGTACAGGGGAGCCCGGGCGCAAGGCCTTGACATAGCAGGTAAGTATTCGGTTGTCGTCTCCTCGCTCTCGCTCGCCCGCCAAATCTCCGAGGCCATCGCTCGTGAGACAGATGGCAGCGTTCAGCCGTCAGCCAAAGAAGTGGAAGCCGATCTAGGCGCGGAGAGGGGCTCGCAAAGCTCCGTCGGTTGAAGCATGTCGGCAGACACCGCACTGCCACAATACAGCTTACACGAGTGCGTACTGCATGTAGATACGGTAAGCTAGCCCAGGCCCGCAAGAAGATTGCCCTCGTGTCCCCCCCCCTCGGCTGGCGTATGGGGCGTTGTCGTCGGGTGTGGTCCCCTCCCAGCTCCTCCGCGTATCTATGGCCATGGCTGGCGCGATCGGGGGTGTCCATCACGGTAGGTGTTTAACTACGTATTTGTGCTTGGAGCTGGGTCACGCCGCTCCAGCAATCGACATGCCCTTGCGCCAGGCCAAGACTTGGCTCCAGTTTGCCTCGGACCTTAGCCGCGCGGACAGGGTCCGGTCTCGACTGCACAGGTCTTGGCCGATTGTTACCCGCCGCATGTTGGCCCTCTCGGCTCAGCGACGCTGGGGTCCGTAGGCCCATGTCGGCCTTCATTTCTGTGCTTCTCGACGCGGGTTAGGAGCCTGCGAGCCCCGCGGACGATCTGGCACGCTGGACATCCCCTCGCGGAGAGAAGTGGGAACTCGCCCTCCCAGCCGCCCGTCATTCGCTGTGCGCCCAGCGCTGGCGTGGAGCAAGCCGTCACCATAACGGGGCTGGTTTGGAGGGGGTGGCGGACACTTTCACCCAGAGACGCCTTGTACTTGAGTTTAGCAAATCGTCCATCCCGACGGCGCCTCGATATCGTGGCGCCCTCGTGTCTATTTACACTGAAAGCGCCTGGACCCGGGATAGATTGGCCCAGGCGGACTGGATCGAGCCAGGCCAGGCTTGCTGTAAGAATTGCCAGATGAATGTCCTGGAAAACGAGCTCCACCATTATTGGCAGTGCCCTGCCAATTGAATGTTCCAAGTCGGAGCACCTCAGGGATCACACCATCGCGGAGGCGGCCGACACTCCTTGCTTTTGGCTCCGCGGAATGATCTCGAGTGGCTGGACAGAAGCGCTGGCCCCCTCAGAAGAGCTGCGCACCTGGGCATGGGCTTTCGGCCAGGGTCCGCCTAGCTATTCCCCGGGGTTGAATGGTGGGGAGCGGGAGATGGCACCGGAGGGCCTTTTAGCAGCGACCCCCGCATTCGGAGGTGTGGGTGGGGTTATGTCCAGTTGGCCTCAGCCACCGCCGCTCCCACAAAAGAAACCGTCGGGGTCCTTGCGGGCCGACACGGCACCCTCCCAGGTAGGCTCCAGACCGTCAATCGAGCAGAGCTCACGGCCCTCACCAAATGGTTAAGACGATATGGGGAGGCTGGCAGGAGCTGCCATTTTATCACAGACTCCTCCTATGCTGTTCGTGGATTCCACAGGGGCCGAGCCAAATTGCCACGAAAGAATCATGACCTGTGGTTTTTTGGGGCGATTGCCATGCCACGCTCAGGAGTATTTCTCGCTCTCCTTGCATCAAGTCGAGAGTCATGCCGACGATGCTCGCGCCCAGGGGGTACCTATCCTTCAGCTTGTAGATACGGTAATGAAACAGCGGACGAGCTTGCAAAGCAGGCGGCAGCCAGGTGCAAATTCCCGTCAGCCCACGCTGACAGGATAGCCGAGGTGGAAGAGCTGGCAGCACTCGTCCGCCATCGATTGGCTGTGGTGGTGGAGTCCTGCGCGGAGGTCGACGTTCGCCAGAGGGCCGATAAACCACAGGCTCCGCCACCCCAGCCCCGTCTCACCCGTTTCCAGAAGGCCGTGATGGCTTCGGAGCATACCGTAAGGATGGGGGCTGGCATCCGAGGAACATGGCGCCTCTGCTGCACTAAATGCCAGTCAGGAACTGGAGGCCGTAAGGAAATGAAGGCCTGGCTTGCCTCCCCATGTCTTGGCGGGAGCCCGCCTCAGGCTCACATCCCTGCGGCCCACCCAAAGCCTCCAGGTGGGCACCCGTAGGCCTCACGAATCCCACCGTGTCAAGGCCCATCCCGTCATTCCAATGTTCTATTGCACGCCTTGCGGATCTGTGGCCGCCATGGAAGGTGGCGTGCTACGAGGTCTAGCTTTGAAGTGCAAGCACCCTGGGGAGACGGGCAAGTCCAACCTCCGAGAGATCGAGAGGGGAGCGTGGCATGTCCGCTCCGCAGCGGCCACGGCGTGGAACGCCGCGCGAGGCCTGCTCAGACGGAGGCGAGCGCGCAAGGCCAAGCCGTCTCACCCCGGTCACTGACCTCCCCTGAGGGTTTGCGCACTCCTCCTCCTCTTCCTCTTCTTCTTCTTCTTCTTCTTATTTTTATTATTATTCGTGTTCGTTTTCGTCTTCGTCTTCGCCTTCTTCGTCTTCTTCGTCTTCTTACATGTGATTCGCCTTCTTCGTCTTCGCCTTCGTCTTCGTCTTCCTTCTCCTCCTCCTCCTCCTCCTCCTCCTCCTCCTCCTCCTCCTCCTCCTCCTCCTCATCCGCCTCCTCCTCCTCCGCCTCCGCCTCTGCCTCCATCTCCGCCTCAGCCGCCACCTCCGCCTCCGCCTCCGCCGCCGCCGCCGCCTCCTCCTCGTCCTCCTCCTCCTCCTCCTCCTCCTCCTCCTCCTCCTCCTCCCCCCGATCCAGCTCGGTGTGGATGAGAGGCGGCGGAGCCAGGGTACACGCCAGAGTCGTGCTGCCAGCTGCGCTCGTACACCTCGAAGCCACCGGCCTGGTCCACCAGGCCACCAGGCCGAGATACTCCATAGCAAGACGTGGCCCAGGGGAACCCCAGTCTTCGTATGTCACCTGCGAATACAGCGCCAAGGCCTCCTTGAGCAAGATGGAACGCTTCCCGTTCCGAAGGTGCACGCCGATGATCCTGTCGTCGCGCTCTGCAGCCTGGCGCTCCTTGGCCCAGGCCTCGCGCTCGCCAGCGTCAACCCTGGCGGCCCAGATCACGGCGCCGTTCACCTCCGCCACGGCCGAGTCTCCAATCTCTGAGAAGCGCCCCTGGTCGTCTACCACCTCCTGCGGCACAACCTCGCCCAACTTTTCCAGGCCAGGCCCAGCGCGAAGCCAGATCATGTCGGGAGCCTCGGCGTCCATGTCGTCGTCAGCCAGCACGCGCGCCTGCGCCCTCGCCAACTGGATGAACTGGTTCAGCTTGGCGCGCGTGATGGGGTCGAAGCTGAAAATCTTATTCCTATTCACGCGGGCTGGCCACGCTGCATTACGACCAAGGACGATGTGACGAATCTTGCTCAAGTCGTGTGTGAACAGCTCGAGCGTCGGCGTGAGCGTCACCCACACTCCAGCAGCGCCAGCCCTGACCAAGAGGATCCTCATGTGCCAATAGAAGCCGTTGGCGTCGTCCGGGAAATGGACCAGCACCTGGAACTCTTTGATATCCAAAGAACGCTCCATCACCCCCGAAGGCTGGAAGGTGTCGCCACGAGCGTGTTCACCGGCTCGGGCACGGGAACAACTCTACCCGCCGCTGCGTTGGCCGGCACCTGTGGTGTCCGTGCGGGGGCGGGCGGCTCGAGCGCGCCCTCGGCGCGGCTCTTCTGGCGCCTGGTGTAAGCCACGCGGCACCAGTCCCAGCACCGCAGCAGCGCGATGCCGAAAAGGAAGGCAGCAGAGATCCCCAGCCAGTCCCGCTCCTGCACCACGATCAGGCTGGTGCTGGCGGGTCCCGCACAGGTCAGCGCGCAGCTGACTGCGGGGCACGTGCACGGCGGGCACGCGGGACAGGCGGGGCAGCGCACCACCGCGGCCTCCACGAGCCTCAGCGCTGAGGGCCCGAGAGACCACAGGTGCTCCATGCACGCCCGCCGGAGGCGGGCCACCTTCAACACTTCGAACACATATGTCAACGGGTACGGGCAGAGCAGGGCGCAGCACGATAAAGACGCATTGAACTGATGGCTTTCTCGCCGTTTCAGCTTCCCGACGCCCCAGACGGTCCTCGAGGCCCCCAAGACCCCTAACGACGGCCCGCCCAAAGGGCATCCAAGAGGGCCCCAAAACGGCCCAAGAGGGCCTCAAGATGGCCCGAGAGGCGCCCAAAACGACCCAAGAGGGCCTCAAGACGGCCCCAAAACGGGCCCAAGAGAGGGAACCGAACCGAAAATCCTAGCCTTCCGCCCCAAGAGGCCTCTGGAATGTCCCGAGAAGCGACCAGGAGACCCCAAGAGGCCCCCAAGAGACCCGGAACAGGCCCCAAGAGGCTCCCAAGACGCCCCAAAGAAACCTCGAGAGGCTCCAACACGGCCCCCAAGAGGCGTCCAAACTACTTCCAAGATGCCCCCGAAAGGCCCCCCACGAGATCCCAACGAACATCCAATAATGGGCCGAAGGCCATTAATCCGCCGCCCCCTGTGGATTCATCGCAGGGGTGCCTGGCGTGCTAGATCCTCTCAATTTTGGTTCCTTTTCCAAAAGAACTCCCCCTGGGGCTTCGGCCCGTCCCGCCGGGCTCCCGGGATTTTTTCCACGGACATCAATTCCCTACTTTTCTGCCCAAGACGGCTCCAAGATGGCCTCCAAGATGGCCAAGATGGCCCAAGATGGCCTCCAAGATGGTCCAAGATGGCCTCCAAGTCCGCCCAAGATGGTCCAAGACGGCCTCCAAGACGGCCCAAGAGAGTCCAAGACGGCCCCAGACGGGCCAAGAGGCCCCCCAGAGGCCTCCCAGACGGCCCCAGAGGCCTCCAAGAGGTCCTCTAGGAGGGCCCGAAGAGGCCAAAATCATGGATTTCCCTTCGGTTTTGGAAGGACTTTGGAATTTGCTTCTTCTCGGCATTCCGACGGCTCAAGACGGCCCAAGAGGCCCCCAAGATCGCCTAAGAGGCCCCCAAGAGGGCCGCATGACGGCCCAAGTGGCCTCCAAGATGGCCCCAAGAGGGCCCCAAGACGGCCCAAGAGGCCTCCAACACGCCCAAGATGGCCTCCAAGACGCCCAAGATGGCCTCCAAGACGGCCCCAAGACGGCCCCGAACCGCCCCAAGAGGGTCCCCCGTTGGCCCAGAAAGGCCCCCAAGACGGCTCCCGACGGCGTCAGACGTGCCAGGAGCCCACCAAGATGGCCGAAGTTGGCTCGAAGCTGGCCCAAAAGGGCCCAAGAGGCCCCCAAGAGGGCCTCCAGGAAGGCCAGAAGAGGCCAAAAACATTGATGCTCCTAAGGTTGTTGACGGATTTTGAGATTTCCTTCTTTTCGGCATTCCGACGGCCCGAGGCGGCCCAAGAGCCCCCAAAGATCGCCGAAAGTTCGCCCAAGAGGCCTCCAAGACGGCCAAGATGACCTTCAAGACGCCCACGTGTTACCCGAAGGCTTTCCAAACCGATTCGGGGAACACTCCAAGATGGCCTCCAAGATGGCCAAGATGGCCCAAGATGGCCTCCAAGATGGTCCAAGATGGCCTCCAAGTCCGCCCAGGATGGTCCAAGATGGCCTCCAAGACGGTGCAAGAGAGTCCAAGACGGCCCAAATAGGCCCCCCAGAGGCCTCCCAGACGGCCCAAGAGGCCCAAGTCGGCCCAGAGAGGCCCCCCCAAACTGCTTCCGACGGCGTCAGATGGACCAGGAGCCCACCAAGACGGCCGAACATGGCCCTACGATGGCCCAAGACGGCCCAAGAGGCCTCCAAGAGGGCCCCCAGGAAGGCCCGAAAAGGCCACAATCATTGATTTCTCATGGGTTTTTGAAGGATTATGGCATTTGCTTTTTGTTCTGCCTTCCGACGGCCCGAGACGGCCCAAGTGCCCCCAAACATCGCCCAAGAGGCCCAAGGCACGGCCCCAAGAGGCCCCCAAGACGCCAATACGCTCAAGATGGCCTCCAAGACGGCCCAAAAGCCCTCCAAGACGTCCTCCAAGAAGGCCCGAAAGGGTCACAATGGCCTCCTGACGGCCAAGATGACCTTCAAGATGCCCACGTGTTCCCCGAAGGCTTTCCAAACCGATTCGGGGAACACATGGTCCGATAGCTTGGCAGGTCTGGCCTCAACGTTCGGCCACATAGGCGCTTCCAAAAAGGCAGGGGGCGGCGGTGATTCGCCGTAGGCGTCTTCGATCTTGTACTCAGGATCGGTAATTCACGCTAGCGATACCAATATGATGGGAGGCCACGGGGAGCCACGGGAGACCACGGCGCCCGACCGACTTGAACATCCAGCCATTCCCGTTCTCGGCTCCCTACGAAGACCCTATTGGGGGACAGGCCAAACCAACAACACAAAAAGATTGGGGACAGGTTTTTTACTTCCGCTGGCATCCGTCGGCCTCTCCGGCGGAGGACCCACCCACCTTTTTGTTTCCGCCTGCCTCCGGTGGCTCTTTCCGCCGAGGAAGGGATTCCAGACATCCGACGCCGAGATTTGCTCCACAGCGTAGCTCCCCCGAGGTCCAGGTCTCTTCATGTGGGGCCAGTCCTTCATATTTCGACCCGTTGCTCGACAGCCACGGGGACCGGCACGGGCCCCCGAGGCCGAAGAGTGCCAAAGACTGTCCTTCGCAGTTCGTCCACGACTACGAGAGCCTCGTTTAACCGATCCCTATCCCCGCTGGCGTGGCCTGGGCCCCGCTGGCCGATTTACCCCCCCAGGCGGGGATATCGGCTGTTCCCTCCGGGTTTCGAGGGGCATGTCTCCAACTGGGGTGGTGGGGTGGTGGGGCTCGGGATGGGGATGGGGATGGGGATCGGTGAAACGCTACTGAAACTGGAGAAGGCGGAGTGGGATGCCCAACTCCTTCGATCTTCGCAGGCGCGGCCCTCTCTGGAGCGCGCCAGCGATGGGGATGGGGATCGGTTAAAACGACACTGAGGCCAGAGAACGTGGGGTGGGATGCACAACTCTGAGGTCAGGCATGTCCTCCTAAAGGCGGATTTTGGAAGAAGAATGAAAACAATCAACCAAATCATCAGAAGTAGCCAGACAGGCACGAAAAATCGTCCCCTGACTTTTTTTGGACTATTCTCGAATACTCCTCCTGTAGAGGGACCCGCCCGACTTAACACAACTCCTCCGACCCTCCAGAGCGAGGCCCTCTCTTGAGCGCGCCAGCTGGGAGCGGAGCAGTTCCGGCCGCCTGCGCGGACAGCTCCTCCTCCTCCTCGCTGCAGAGGCGCCTCAGGCGCCGCAGGCCTTGCAGCCGCGGGTTCGCCTGGGGCCGCAGCCGTCGCCGACATCGTCGTGAGGGAGGGGGGGCAGGAGGGCGGAGAGGGCCTGAGACTCTGGCGTAGGATACTTCCACGCTGGGCAATTTCGCCATGTTTCGGGCCCCAGGGCCCTCGCACATCGATCCGGCTCGAAAATGCAACAGAAAGATGAGGTCTAGGGCTCTGGTCGTGGCTGTTCGCGATGCTCCCCTTCGGCGCAACGCTGGATCCCAAGCAAAGAGGAGATGGGGGGGAGAGAGGGCAGGGAGAGAAGAGCAGGAGAAAAAGGAGGGGGAGTTGAATGATGCGACGCGAGGCTTCGCTGAGTGCGCGCCCGAACTGCGGGTGGCACTCGGCGGGGGGTGCACAGGGCATGAGACCATGCCCAGTACGCCACCGCTCTGAACCACTGGGCGACCACGGAGGGGGAAGAGCGAGGGGGGGAGGAGGATGGACGGATGGCGCGCTCATCGAAAAGGCGACAGAATGCAAACATGAAAGCGATCGGAGTTCCACACAGAATGATGTTAAGGGCTCAGCGGGATTAATGGGGCACAGCAGTAGCAGCCAACAAGGAAGGCCCATGGCGTTCAGGTATGCTCATGGAAGGACAGACAAAGGCGAGGAGGGGGAGCAGCAGGGAGGAATAGGAAGGCTGTTCAGGATGCACGCCCCCCTTTTCGAATCCTACATTCCGGTTTTAGGGGTTAAGGAGGTCACCCTGTCACACAATCCCACCAGCCCTCTGGGCGTAAGTGGTTTAGGGCGTTTCCTCTTCCACCCCCTTCTTCCCATTTCGGGGAGGGGTTTACCCCTCCCCCCACCCCCTCCCCTGCACCTGGACGGGGCGTTCCGCGAGCGGTCGGAGCGTCCAAAACGGCCTCTTCGAGGAAGCCAAAACCATTGGTTTTACTAAGGTCTTCGCCCCATTTTGGCCTCTTGGGGGGGCAGCGCTAATTAAGCAACCCCCCTTCTTTCATCTCCTCCGAGATGGCCCCACGAGCGCTCCCAAGGCTCCCAAGCATGCCCCAAGGGGGCCCCAAGAGGTGGCCAGGAGGCCCCCAGAGGCCCCCAAGAGGCCCCCAAGAGGCTCCCAAGAGACCCCCAAGAGGCCCCAAGAGGCGCCCCAGACCAAGAGGCCTCGGCGACAATGCCAAAATTTTTGATTTTACCAAGGCTTGAGCCACATGTTGGCCTCCTCGGGGGGGAGGCACTGCTTAAGATGACTCCAAGTGCGACTGGGAGAGCCCCCGGTGACCTCCAAGATGGCTCAAGAGATCCCAAGATGCCTCAAGATGGCTCCCACGATGTTCCAAGAGGCCCGAAGACCGCTCCAAGACGGCTCCAAGTGGCCAAAGAGCTCCCTCAGGAGGCCCCGAAGAGGCCAAAATCCTTCCAACACGTTAGGAAAATCAATGCTTTTGGCTGTCTCGCCGGTTCGCTTCCGATGGCCATCCGAGGCTTCAAGATGGCTCCAAGATGGCCCAAGAGGGCACCAAGAGCGCTCCCAAGGCTTCCAAGAGCACTTCAAGAGGGCTCCAAGAGGCGCCCAGGAGGCCCAGGAGGCCCCAGCAGGCGCCCAAGAGGCCTCCAAGAGGCTCCCAAGAGACCCCCAAGAGGCCCCAAGAAGTTCTCCGAGGCACCCAAGACGCTCTAAGAGGCGTCC